TAATTGGATTTTTCTTTGCTTTGGCAAATATCTACTTTTTCTTTCTTTGATTCATATGAACTAACACTACAACCACATAGAATGCCCTGTTCCCCCTCTCTCATAAAAGTTGACGACTCTGTTTAACAGGCTAGGAGCATCACTCAGTTGACTACTTATTTAGATTCTAATCTGAACCGTGCCTGAGATTGCAAACAACATGGGTTAGAATAAATAAACTACAAATCAAGAGTCCAATCTTCTACTGTTGCTTGACGGTTGACTCTGGAATTTAAGCTGCATTTGGAATCAGTGTATTTTTATATTGATGACGTTTCACACTAAATTGTGAAAGTGATCATTGCTTTTTAAAAAATACAATAGGTGAAGAGTGTAAAGTTTTATTTCGATAAAATTAATGTAATATTTACATTGATGATTGATATAAAACTTTATGTTTGACAGGTTTTACATCAATTATCAACGAAAAACTCTACTCCATCTAAACGTACACAAAACTAAACCGAAGTGAAGTTTTACGTCGATCATAGTTACACTCTTCTTCCAAACACAGACAAACTCGAACCGATGTAAACTTTTACACCGTTATTGATCTACACCAATTCTAAACGCAGCCTTAATGTTTATGTAAATTTATCCAGACAATATATAAGACAAACGAACGATGATGCATGTCTCTTCGGAATCAATATAGTGATGACAAATTGATCTTTGATGCCTTTAAAATAATGTTTAGGCTGCATTTGAAAATGATGCAAATAAGTGTGAATGCAAATATGTAGAGTGTAAAACAGTACATATAAATTGCAAAGTTGGGTTAGTTTTGCACCGACAAATTTACCTTCTTACCAAATAGATTTTTTGTTATAACGGATGCAAACACGAATTCCAATAAAACATATGCATTTTTTTTTATCAAAAGCCCATTTGAATGCAAATTTACTTCTTTTTTATTGTTGTACTTTTACATCTTTAGAAGGAGTACAAATACAAATATGTAGAGTGGAAAACTTTATATTGTCTTATTTTGTATGTATTTATACCATACATATTTGCATTTGTAATCTTTTCAAACCAAGTCTTAATATCTTATTATCAATGTAAATATGCATTGAAAAATGTGTTTTCTGTCACTGGCAAAAGTGAACCAGCGTACAAATTTACCCTGAACCGGGATTTACACTCCATTTGCATCGTTTCCAAACGCATCCTTAGAGACAATATACTTATCATAAAAATGGATCATTGATATTTCAAGCAGGGACAAGACAAATTGATCTTTGATCTGTTGCAGGGGACAAGGCCTCCTTCCTTTTTTCTGCTTACTGCATGGACCTCTTTTACCAGGTATACCTTGTTAAAGACAAACAGTAGGATTATGCAACATGAGTTCAAATTATTAAACATGCTGTTTAATACTTCAAGCAGTACTAAAGATGGATCATTCTCTTCCGAAAGAAATATACTCTTTCAGAGCAGTGTTAATGAAATCTAGTTCCCTTTTCCGAAGAAATATTACCAGCGTTATGGCCTTACGGGCAAGAATGGTGCAATCTCTGCCAGTGAATGGTGTGCTTTCCGTGTGTTTCTGGTGGGAAATATGGTGCGCTCATTGGACGACAAATGATGACAGATTCTCTGACCAGTGAGTCCCAACAATCACCTGCGTTAGGTGTGAGGGGGAGGTACAAAAGAGGGAGAGGAAAGAGATTAAGGGTTTAGACAGAAACGAAATGAGGAGTGCAAGATTTGATGTTTTCTACAAAATTTGCAACCTTTTTATTCTTTTTAATTGAAAAGACAACAAATGAATTCAAATAAATAGATATAACGGTTTCCAGCAGCTAAAAAAAAAAAAAAAAAAAGATATAACAGTCTTAATGGGGCAACAGTTAATATGGAACTGAGAAGAGCACCACCCACAATAAGAAACTCTAAAGTCCATTCCAAAAGCTTGGAAACCTCAGAAGTCAGAACCCCACCCCCTCGTGATTACAAACCAGCTTCCCCAGCAACCTGTATCAGAGCTTTTTTACTCTTACTGACTCTTTTTGATTTCCTAACCTTCCCACTAGGCCCAATCCCAAATAGACCTCCTTTAACCTTGCAAATACTTTCAGAGCCTTGACAGTTTGAAGATCCTTATGATTTCTGAATCTTTTCACTGTACTAAAAAACCATTGGAGTCCCCCGTATTTTGCTGCAATATCTCATTAGTTTTCTCTAGCTCCATCACTGCATTCTTCTCAAAAGTTTTGGCTGCAACCGCCTCACTCTCTTCTTTATTAGCACTTTTATTCTCACTTTCTGATCTTTACGAGTCCAAAGCTTCTTCATCTCTAATGCCAGAGTCAATCTCTTCAGCTCCTGGACTTTCATTCATCGGATACCTCTCATCCAGTTCTTTAAATATCCATCTCGTAAAATCTTCCCCGCCCAAGACGTGCAAACCCAATAGCTTACTTTCAACCTCAATCCACCACTTTCTTGCAAAATTGTATCACATTTTGGGTCACCAAAACACTAAATACATAGATTTAGGACATATGGCCACTTTTAAAGGTTAATACCCTTCCTAGAGATGTCCTGGCTCAATTCCTGAAACCTACCTGTCTTTTTATCTAAGCATGTCACCCATTTGAAACATGTGATATGCAATTTTTGCATGCCATGCATATCAATACTTTGAACCATGGCTGCTACCCTACTGGAATCTCAAATTTTGGAGAGGAATCGCATATACAAAAATAAAATAAAAAAGGATAATCTTGTGAGAAAGTTGTGTGAGATGGGTTTAGTATGTATCCTATTGTTTAGTTCGATTAATCAAGTCAACAAGTCAAGAAAAAAGTACTTCACTATAAAGCAATCCTGAAGTGCTCTTCTTCTTTATATAAAAAAAAAATCCCAAAGGAAGTGACATATTAATAATTAGGGCGTGTGTCCATATTAAATGAAGTTACTCATTAAAAGCTAATTAGAAAGTTGTGTGAGATGGGCAGGGTCTTTGAGCAATGTTGGACATAGACATGTGAATCAGAACCTGACATGTGCCAGAAGTCTGAGTTAGAAAGATGAAAAAAGAACCTATTGGCACATTTATAGAAAAACATAAACTACCAAAATGGTCCAATTTTTAGTCCTAAAATTATACACCTATAGAAAAAAAGGTTCAAAAACTTATCTTTGCTGTCTAATAACATTTTATGGGAAGAATGGCATTCAGTGTGTACATTAGATGCTAATAAAAGATATTCATTTATGCCAAGCAAGGAGAGATTAGAGAGAGAAAATGTTATGTAAAATTATCCCTCAAGAACCCATTAAGTGTTCAAATCTAATTCATCCATTTAGGAGAGCCCTTGCAACACACTTGGGGCAAATTGTAACCATATTCTCAGATGTAGACAAGCTTTAAGAGTGTCAAAGGAGTTATCAAACCCATCCAGTTGTTGAGAACATTGAAGAGAAAGGTGAAGAAGTTTTAACCCCCTAAGTTCACTCATTTGTAGGATGGGGGCATCTTCAATTTTTATTAATGAGCCTGAGAAAGATTAAATATAATATCGGTTCCACATTATAAATCCCATATTTCTAGAATCACAACTTTTTTTTGTTAAGTAATTTCTAGAAGAACAACTTGTAATTAATATAAAATATTGAACACCCATGCATCCTTATTTATCTTCTGTTGTCAAACATACATAATAGCATTAGCATCCATTTAACCTTTTTTATAGAAGTACTACAACAATGTAAACACATGATATTAAGCCTATTTCTAGGTCTTAAGCTACACATGAATTAAGAGTTTATAGAAATTAAGCTGGAGTATAGAAATAAATTAAGGACTACCTATAAATACACATCTGAACTGTAAAGAAAAAGACTCACCAATCACAGCACAATTCCCTTATCGAAGTACATGAATACTCCAGCATCCCTGCCTACATGCATTATACTTGTATCACTGGAGACTGGACTTCAAGTCTCCAATACACAATCAGCCACAAATGAGACATGCTAATGCTTCAGCTTTCCTGCCTATATACATTATGCCTTCAACAAACAATCAACTGCATATGATACATGATACACTAGACAAATACATAGAACCAAAGAACATTGAACACAAATATCCATCCATCCACATTTTCCTCAAATTTAGTCTAATTACAAGCAAGTATCTAACCAATCTTTCCAAGACCTTTCTATTGCCAGGCCAATAACAGATCCACAGCCAAATTTGGGAAAACATCAGCTGATTCTAAAAGGAGCCAAAAAAAGAGCTCATAACACATGTTTGAAACTTGAAAGAGCAAGGCAAAAATAAATAATTTTCTTTTTTGGTGATCAGCACAAATGACTTTCTGATTCTATCTCTTGCAGAGATGATGCAGAAGCAGCAGATGGGACATCATTGGCCCCAGAATCATTACTTAATAGTTCTGAATGCATTTCATTTCAGTTTCCCAAGTATAACTTTTAGTCGTTATTAGAAGGAAAATGTATTTAAAAGCACAAAGAATACAGAAGCAAGTCAGTTTAAGAAACAGAAAAACAGGAATCAATAGGCCAGCCCCAAAAAGGTGAAAGGCTAATGTTAGGTGTAACAGGTAGAGTTGAGCCATGTCTGACATGAAATGGTGGAATCCATATCCATACAGATCTTGCATATAACATGCAGTAATTATCCAAGTTAGTTGAACACATGGAACTCTGCATCTTTCATAAAACACAGAACTACAGTTACTAAAGCTCCAATTTGTAAGAAATCCCAGCTATTACACACGTAGTAAGAAAGACTCAACAAGTCTAAAGGATTTTGAAGTGTTCCACCAAGGATTTTGTCAAGAAACTGTTCAAATGAAAACATTTAACAGCATGACACCCTGATGCCAAATAGCTTCTAAATAACTTCAAGAGATAACTATAACATCAGTTTACATTGCAAATCCCATAATATTTCTAGTACCACATCAACTAATTAATATGACACATTGAACACCATAAACCATGCATATTTAATTATCTTCTATCTGCAATCATAAGTGGTAGCATCCATTTAATCTGTCCCATAGAAGTAGTGATACAAGTTAACCCCATGAAACGCCTATATCTAGGTATTAAATTGCACATGAATTCAGATAGGCCATGACTAAACTGAAGTGGGTATAGAAAAAAGCTTTATTATATGCAATAATGACAGAGTGCCTAATGATACACATTTGAGCTCTAAAGACATAATTCACCAATTATACCTCAACTTCCTCAGAACTCCCCTACCAATTACCAATACAAGTACATGAATGCTCCAACATCCTTGCCTATGTACATTATACCTGTACTTTAACAAATAATGAGATGTATATGATACATGGTATAGTAGACAAATACGTATAACCGAAGAGCATGACATACATAAAGCTCCATCCATCCCCATTTACTCGAGGTCATACTAATTGCGAACAAGTAAGCAATCCATCTTGCCCAAGCAAAAACCCTTCATTATCCAACGTCTCCCTCACAGCCCGATAAAATTCCAACCAAGATGAGGAGTATGCATCTGTCGGTCCCCACAAAAACGTTGGGTTCGGACTTGCCGGGCAGGCAGTAACCAAATCCAACACCGAAGCTGCTGGTTTCAGTGGCTGAGGAAAATTAAACGCCAAATTATCGACCTTGTGCTCATAAATTTTCCCATTTCGATCCAATTTATACCTGGAAGTCCCCTGAAACTCACCTTTTGCCTCCCATGGGACCCTGGGAACTCCTCTTAAGTTCCATCTGATCAGGATAACATTCTCGGAAGGCTGCCAGACCCTGAAAATGTCAAGCGAAATCTCCCGGAACAGGATTTTACTGTGGAAACGCAAAGCCCAGAAGATCAATTTGTAGTTCTCGATTCCGGTGAACGTGTTCAACGGGTCTACAAATGTTATATCATCTCTGCCAAATTAAAAAACAGAAGGCCCAGAGACTCTCAGACTTCAAAACCCAAATTCTAGAAATCCTGAAAACAATTTATTTGACAAGTAGACAACGACCCAATTCTCAGAACTTAAAGCCCAAATTCCAAGAGCCGAGTCTCAGAACTCAAAACCCAAAACCTAAAATACCCAGAAGAAGAAAATAATAATAATTATCAAGGAAAAGCATTCAAATACCTGTAGATATCGTAATTGAGGTCTTTGGAGAACAACGAGGGCAAGTCTTCTCTGAGGGTGCGTACAGCTAGGCCGAGGTTGACGTAGAAGTCGTTCTTCTGCTTATCATGGGCACTTGAGGTGTCGTTATCCTGATGACTCTGAACAGGCGGGGCCTCGAGTTTGGTAAGAGGAGAAGCAGAGATGAACAGGGGAGAGGAACTGGACTTTGGAATGGAAATCTGGTGTATGAGCTGCTCCTTTGATTTGGTCCGAAGGATAAGAGATGGAGAGAGGTTTGGAAGAAGAAAAGACATCTCTTTTCTTCTTAAATTAATAAAACAGAAAAGCCTCTCTGAGTTTCAGTCTTTCCTTTTCATGGCGGAGGCGCGGAGAGAGAGAGAGAGAGAGAGAGACGTAGCTTTTTGTGTTGATTGAAAAATAAATAAAAAATGAGATGCTTCTCACTTTCTCAGAGCTTTTTGGGTGGTTTGAAGAAGGCCATGAGGTGTGATTTTAAGATTGTTTGCGTGGGTACATGGGAGGAACGGGACGGGGGACCCACTTGTCCATGAAGATTTCATGTTCAGAACGATATCAGATTTGCTCTTCACAGACACAGCGCATCGCAGCCGTGCGTTAAAAACATCTCCCAAGATGTTCCCAATGCAATACGAGGATGGTGTGAGGGGTGCTCTGTGAGGACCATATCCTAACTCTTTCATATCTTCAATAGTAGCTTATTGTTTCTCTAGGCTGCGTTTGGTTGCCGTGTAAGTGTACTTTTAGGTAAAGTTTTACATCTAAAAAATCAGTATTAACATTACATTTACATCCAATGTCCATGTAAAAACTTTATTGAATGGGAGTATATATAATGTATAAAAACACCACTACCAAATACAAGCAAAATCAGATCAAAGTGCAAAATATACACCGATCCAGAGTTTACAACGCAATCCTATTTTTTCCGTGGTTGATTTTTATCAAGACCCATCCATCCAGAGTTAGAGCCCTTGTGTTATCGAATTGGAATTTATTCTTCACAGCGACATCACTCTCTATTGGGAACATCTCCCATAAATAATAAATACAAGTATAGGAGATGTTCCCGATGTACAGCCAATACATGCTGTAAGGTTGGTGTGAGGCGTGCGGTATGAGGAGCTGATCCGGACTCTGCTATCATGTCTTTCTGGGAGCATAGGTTCTCTCTACTTTGCCATATTGAAATGTTTATTTGAGAAAACTGTTCGATTAAACCAAAAAATTTGCTTTCAATCAACCGGTATCATAAAAGAGATGACCAAATAAGTGATTTTCATCACAATTCATGGGATACTTTGGTTGTTCAAAGTTCTTGGTGGTACAAAGTTCACATTTCTACCCCCACAACGTCTCACAGCACATCCCCACCATGTATTGAGAACATCTTCCAATAATAACATCATCAGTTATTAGTTCTGGTACTATCATCAGAATCAGGAGATGTTCCTAATACACCACAGGAATGTACCGTGGGTGGGACGAGACGTTGTCGGGTGGAGATGTGATCTTGGTGGTACAATGTCTTTTCATTGTCATGGATTTTTCCTAACTTATGATTATAATTATAGGTGATCTAGTCAAATTTAGCACCTATGATAAGGGCCGGACCTTAGCATGATTTTCCCTTATCTTTTCCTTGTATAAGTTTTTCTACCTTTTCTTGTCTTTTCCTTCAAATCAAACATAGTCTAAATGATCACTCCAAGATAAAATTATATCATTTTTGGATTAGTGCTGTCAATAAGTCAAGTCTGGCCCATGAACCAATTATTAATGGGTTTTATAAAACATACCGATTAAGATAACTTTATATTATATTATAACATGCAGCAATCTCACTCCAAAGCTTCCATTTACCCTAAAAAAGGTGATTCACTTTGTTTAAGTGAGTTTCATTGTTCATTTCATAAAGTGAACAACAAGGACCAAGTAAGTAAGGGTTGAACTTAAGCATCTCTCTATCTTTAAAAACATCATATTCAAGCAATCTGAAGAGTGGAGAACAGTATTTGTTTTACACATTTGTATCATGGGCATGGCTGTAATTTCAACATCATAATTAGCCCAAGGGGTGTATTTACATATATATTTATTTGAAGGGACTGACCATTAGACCAGAGAGACACATGATACCCAAAAAGCTTATGACCAGTCAGCCAGTATCATAACGGTAGTCAATCAAGTGATATTCATCAGAATTCTCAGAGGCTTTTGATTGGTTAAAGTTCTGCTAACATACGTTTACAGCATTATAGATTTACCCTTATTTGATTGGTATTCTGTGCTATGTACCATTAATAACTAATCACTAATTCCTTTTCTCTAAAGTGTTAGTTGCGAGATTTGATTTTCAATCAACGCTAGAACAAATCAGCTAATACACCAATAAGCCAGCCCTCGGTTAGTTACCAATTATTTATGCATGAGACTCAAACCCATAGAATGGTAGATTCTCCTTTAATGTATATACTTGTATATTATTTCRGAGAAAATTATAGTCTACCTTCATACTGGGATCTCTTGCAGAAGACGGAGAAGCTGGATTGTGGAATTAGCTACAGGCACGTGTACAAAGAGGTGAATCAAATGGCAAATTGGATTGCAAATCAAGCTCTTTCTTTTTCTTATAGATTTATTTCGTTAAATCTTTCTAATCTCTCTGGGGACCTTGATTTTATTTGTTTGAGTGATGTCTTGAGGGCGTGCTACCCCTATCTTGTGTAACACCATTTATTTCTATAAAAACAGAAAGCAAAAACCGTATAGATTATCAAGCATTGGACATTCAACCATACATTAGGAATATTTCTCCATAAATTTAATAAATTTAAGATACATGTATGAGAGATATTCTGTCTGCATTCAAGAGATACGGCTCAGTGGATAAGGTCCAAATAAACACATTTGAAATGGAACAAGAGACAAAAAGTGACTACTCAATGAATTCTTGGAACAATTAACAAAAGAAGAAGGAATTCTAATGGCATATTCCTTTTAGCCTTTTTCTAAGAATCTAAAGGGAATAAGAGCACATTATTATCCAGTTATCCGAATTTTGATTCAATGATTCGTATATATAGCATTCATTCCACATTTTTTCTTTCTGACCCTAAGGCAAGGGTCCTTAACAAGGAAGGAAAGCAAGAAATTTTATAAGATTTATTATAATTAATATTTTAAAACATAAATAACTTGTATATTAATATAATAAGAGTTTGAGAAACCAATATGACACCATAGTTTATGAATAATATTTATATTATTATATGTATATTTGGTAACTAAAGTGTAAATGAATTCTATATGAATGACCATTTTTTTTTAATTTGTTCTTTAATCTCAATTTGTTTTGCATTGGTATAGATGCAAGGGAATGCTAGTAGGTTGAGTGTAATTCCTTTTTTTCCTTTTTGTTTTTATTTTTAGTTTTTGCTTCATATTTGACTATCTTATTTGTTAGTGAGAAATAATGGAGTCTCTATCTTACATGAAAGGGAATGGAGGAGGGATCTCCTGCTAGTCGTAGCGGAGACTTAGGATCGAATCCCACATGCACCTGGGTTGAGAAGGCTATGGGTTGGGAGATGAGCTACCACTGTCGTGTATCCCTTTAGAAGATATATAAAAAAAAAGGAATGGAGGTAAGAGGAGGGTTATTTATTTGGGAGCAAGGTAAAAAGCAAAGATCTCGGACCAAGTCAGCACTGTCCGCCACGACCGCATCATGAAAGGGTGCACCAAGGAGAGTTCCACGTGGACAAGAAAACACACTCTATCGAGGAAAGGGGAACCTTCCAAGTACTTTGGCGAGTAATCTCATCCTGATAACCCTACAAACCTAATCCGACTACAACATGGATGCTCAGCTATATATAGGCACCTCCCCATCAAGGTAAAGGACTTTTGACTCTTGACTCACCTCAACACTCATTGCATTCACCTCGGTCCGGACAAGCCAATTCTCTTCAACTCGTCTCGACCAACTTCCCATCTTTCTACTAACTTGAGAATTGGAGTGCCTACCAGGGAACAACTCCTCGAGCTTTTGACTCTCCTTGTGCTTGTAGATCACCTTAGTGCACGCCTTTGTCCTTTCACCTCAACCTCTTCTGGTTGGTAGGACTATCTAATTGCATCCTTGGTTTGGCACACCTCAAATTGAATAGCATCAGAAGGTAGTGCAAATTTTGCATCCATTTTTTTATATGCAAAATTTACATTGCTAGTGAAGGCAAATGAGACAAAGGTTGCGTTTGAAAACGATGCAAATAAGTTGAATGCAAATATGTAGAGTGTTAAACGGTCCATATAAATTGCAAAGTTGGGTTAGTTTTGCACTAACAAATTTACCTTCTTACCAAACAGACTTTTAGATGTAATGGATGCAAATACAAATTCCTAAAGCATATGCCTTTTTTATCAAAAGCCCACTTGAATGCAAATTTTCTTCTTTTTTATTGATGTACTTTTACTCTTATTATCAATGTAAATATGCATTGGAAAATGTATTTTTTGTCACTTGTCAATGCCTAAATGAAATGTTGCCAAACACAAATAAAAGTGAACCATAGTGCAAATTTACCCTGAATCGGGATTTACACTCCATTTGCATCGTTTTCAAACGCAGCCAAAACTACAAATTTTGTTTCAAGTAAGAGTGCAAACCATAGTTACAAATAGACTTGTTCACAGGCCGGGCTTTGCCTCTACATTAATAGAATATGCTCAGGCCTGAGCCTAAGCCCGACCCAACCAGTGGTCCTAGGTCTTGAGCCCGAGCCCAACCCGACCATTGGGCCTAGGTCTTGAGCCCGACCCTGGTCCCCATATAAAGCCCGAATTGGAGCCCAGCTAGAAATTTGGAAAGAAAAAAGATTTTTCCTTTTTAATTCAATTAAAAGTTATTTTATTTATATTAAAAGACCTCTGAACCTAAAAAATAATGAAAAGTCTCATTATTACTTAAAAAAAGAGAAGAAAAATAAAGAAAAATATATTACATACATGTTTTTTATTATATAAAATATATTTTTATTAATATAATACAATATCAAGTCGAGCTTGGGCTCGGGCTGAGTTTTCTTGAGCAAGCCCAAGGTCGGCCCAAAAAAAGTTTGGCTTGATATTTTAGGCCCGAGCACAAACCCATGAACAGGCCCTAGCACTAACCAAGTGCAAATTTTATATACAATTCAGATTTATAGTGCAAACAAAGGGAAAATTAATAGAAAATATATTTTACTCTTTGTTGTTCAACTTTTGTCATTATAAAGAAAAACAGAGAGATACATAAGACGTGTTGCCTCTCCTATACTCTATGCCATGTTTGGTTTGAAAGAAACCGAGAGAGAAACATAAGTTGAGGGAAAGTTCTTGTGAAATACCCTATCATCAACTTACTATTTTTCTCTTATTTTATA